ATATATTGTAGTTGGAAATTTAAAAATAACCATTATTTAAAGTCTCACACTTGACGTAGGCAAGAATGAGACAAGTGTTTATCAATTTTCTGAAAATCAGAACGATCGTCCATTTTATCAACGATAGCCTGGAGTTTTTACAATTTAAATTTGACTGTATTTCATCTATCTTGACACGAGTCCATGGTTTCAGGCGAATCGATTTTTAGAAAAAAAAAACAGTATGATATCGAGTTGGCAATTCAACACCATGACGCTACCCGGGTGACATCTACCAGCTGGTTACGAAACATTTAGAATAAATATTCGCATCAAATCCACTCTATCTTCAGTATCAGGTTAGGTATCAATCTGAACCCCAGAAAGATGTTTAACCTTTTGTGTTACTTGTTAACATACCTGACTCTTATTGTAAGTATTTATAACTTGAAGACGCCTTGAATCATATTGAAGCCGGTAGGTCTTGGAAGTCTTGATTCTTTCAACGCCGGTAAATATTTAAAACTTTAAGCCACCGGTATTTATTGATAACTTTAAGACACCGGTAAGTATTGATAACTTTCAGACACTGGTAAGTATTGATAACTTTGAAACACCGGCCGGCAATTATTTATAATTTTAAGACACCGGTAAGTATTGATAATTTTAAGACACTGGTAAGTATTGATAACTTTGAAACGCCGGTAAGTATTGATAACTTTGAAACATCGGCCGGTAAGTATTGATAACTTTGAAACATCGGCCGGCAATTATTTATAATTTTAAGACACCGGTAATTATTGATAATTTTAAGACACTGGTAAGTATTGATAACTTTGAAACACCGGCCGGCAATTATTTATAATTTTAAGACACCGGTAAGTATTGATAATTTTAAGACACCGGTAAGTATAGATAACTTTGAAACGCCGGCAATTATTGATAACTTTGAAATGACGGTAATAATTGATAACTTGAAGACGCCAGTAAATAATGACAACTTTAAGACGCAGGTAAATATTGATAACTTTGAAACGTATTGAACGCCTTGACTAAGAGAGGGTGTGACGTGAGTAAGTAGCCAAATATATTTGTATCGATATTGGCACTAATTAGAATTCACATCTTCGATAATGCTTATTTGGTACACCCATTCGTCACCCGTTTCCGGTCATTTTCTAAACACAGGTTTCTGTAGCGGATGTTGCTAGCGGAGTGAGACATGTTCACGATTCTCAAAAACCTGATTGGGCTTGTGAATTGGGCACAACTTTCGGAAAGTTCACATAGCTAATTTTGTTCCTTTATTTTTGATATATTTATTAATGGACAGGTCAGTTTGCCGATGAACAATTTTCGAGGTCACTGCTCAATACTATTTTCTTTTTTTGGGGAGTTGAAATTTTGTTATGCTCAAATTTATGAAAACTATACACCAAAATCTAGAGGAATGTGTCCCTTAACTTATCAGAAAGTTTGAACTTAAAGTAGCTTGCAAATTTCAGAATTTCCAATCTAGTTTGCAGGTTTACATAAACACTTTAACGTCGCTACGTCTTCTGGACGGTGTTGGAAAACTTATGTACGAATCTGATCAAAATAAATGCCAAATTGTTGAAAAATTTGTCTCCTTCTTAAACTGAAGATTTTAACTAAACATATCGAGTCAATATAAAGCATTACAATAACACTAGGTCAAACTGCTTAATTAACTATTACTAAGCTTTGATCACACCTTTTAAAACACACTTAACTTTATATAGTAAATAGCATATTTTAGAAATCTGTTCATGTATATTACAATATTTATAATAATACAAATTTCTTTTATAATGCCCCTTTAAGGTCAGGTGTAAGCTACTGCTTTGGAATATCTATTAATATGTTCAGAATGTACGAACTCTCTTGATATCAAAAACGCAGAGTTTAGTTATAGTGAAGACTGTGGAGATATCACGATAACCTGTAAGGATGGTTACGAAATGTTTCAATCGCTGACATGTTCAAACGGCGAATGGATGTATCCACAACCTGTCTGTAAACTAGGTAGGGTATTTATAAATAATTAATCCTTAACCAGTGATTAATAATAATAATAATAATTAGGTCAGAACCCAATCAAGCGGAGGTGTGTCGTTATTTTAGGTTTTCATTGTAAGGCATTGGAATTGTGAACTGTGTAAAAACATGAAAATTTCTGTCTGGTACGGAAGTTCAAATATACGGAAGTTCAAATATACGGAAGTTCAAATACGACATGTTTTTGTATTTCTATGGTACATGGTTGTAGAATGACAGCGAAACATTCAGTCTATACTTGATTAAATTATAAATAATTCTAATTATCCTTTTTGTAGCAAATCTAGAAGAAATGTAAGTATGACTTTTACTACTTATAGTTTTTAAAGGGATAGGTACGCCATTTGGGGGGGTGGGGGGGGGGGGGGGGGGGTGATTTGAGTCTTGAATATATATAAACAGTCGTCAGAGCTCAATACATCAATTGTAGAGCTATATAGATATACCACTGTTAACATAGTGCTCAATACATCAATTGTAGAGCTATATTACCACTGCTGGCTGTTTGGTTCTTTACAAGGCAATGTTACGATTCAATTCGTTATAGATGTAGATTCAGATTTACAGTAACTGATGAGAATTGCTGAATGGAATTTGATATTAACGATTGTTCGTCAAACTTATATATTACCCATCAATACAGTCAGTACAGCATAAATAGTTTCTTTACTATTTCATTGAAGTTTCTAACTTCTTGAGAATATAATATTAAGAACTGTTTAAGGATAAACGCTCTAGCTTTTTAATTTTACAGGTAATGTACGAGTAAATGTAGCCTCTGGTTTGATCTCTATTCAAACAATTTTTCATCGTTTCCATAACCACATTATAGACTTACTACAAAGCCTTCTGGATAGCTCGCAATATGTATGGGATGATGAAAAGCTCTTTCAAGTAACAAGAAAAATTGTTGGCGCTGTTATACAAAATATAGCTTATAAAGAATTTCTTCCATTATTGATAGGACCAGCTGCTATGAGTCAATATGGGTCAGTATTGGTTAGATCTCTTCCATCGCGAAAATAAACCCATCATTTCGGATCCTATAGTCTCCTAATGCTTCCTTACAATTGGACAATTGGCGTTTAAATTCCTTGCTTTACTCTGGATGTATTATATTTCAGGCCAAGACTATTTCTATATTTTCAACCTCGTCTCTTTGAGGTCCGCCCTTCCTCTCTAAAGCCTCGTTTAATGCACTGCCTTTATTTCGGACTCGTCTCTTTCTTTATAACCTGTCTTTCCTCTCAAACTCGCATGCTGGAGCTGTTTTGTTAAAGGCCTGGCGTCTTTTGCTTGTCCGCCTTTTTAAGTCTGTGACTCTTTGATTAATCAACCGATTATAATAATTCAGAAACTGTGTGTATAAGACGTCTTTTTTAGAAAATATATTTGTTATGTTAAACAAGAAGCGGTCTACTATGACAAGCAATCAGATACGACCATCCCAGCATGAATTGAATGAATTGACTAAAAAAGACATTTTGTATTTTGTAGACTAACGAAATATGAAAGTAGTGACTATGATTCAAGTATATCACCCGGTATCTTCAGTAGTTTTAGTGCAGCAGCGTTTAGATATGGTCACCCTGCTTTTCCTAATAAATGGACACATGGTACAGAGAAAATTCCTTTCTCTGAGCTCTTCGAGAGACCTTATTATGTTCAAGCTGATCAAGGTTAGTTCCCTTTAATTTTTTTTAATTATGTCCCTTTCGCATGGCTAACTTACATTCTGACCACAGAAAGCCAAAAAGGGAAAATAAAGAATCAGTTCCCTTTAATTTTTTTTAATTATGTCCCTTTCGCATGGCTAACTTACATTCTGACCACAGAAAGCCAAAAAGGGAAAATAAAGAATCAATCTCGAGTTCAACAGTTATGAATTGTGACGGTGTGGGAAATTTGAATTGCGTTTCCAGTCTTCATTAGTTAGACCAATCATGTGAACAAAAATTTAAAGTCGATTTCTGTCTCATTTTATTTCAAACTAATTCAACCTTCAACTCTTAAAGATGGGATTATTTTAAAATTAAAATGCTAATAATTATATAAACAGAAAGTAGATGTGTTCCAATGACATAGAAAAATATCAGTTTGTCTCACATGTCCATAATTATTTCATAATTAGCTAAATTAGAAGAGAATTGCCAGCAGAATTCCAATGAGTGACCGATTAAGAAAGGTCAAAAGGTTTTTTTTTATCCAGACTATACATACATAGACATTTATGATTGGTAAAAACACTTAATCATATGCAATAAGAACATAATGATTTGATTAAGAATTCATTACAAATGCTTATTTTACAAAAGGTTTGCTTAATTTGACACTTAAAAATAAGGAAACCCATATTTAAAGGGACATATTCGCCCAAAACAGGATTTGCTTTTAGCAAAGCCGGTCAGTAATAGTTTTCACAGCTCATCGTAAATGTCCAGAATTATCTGCGTTTGTAAGTTAAAAATACGACTGATCTTTTTTTTATACTCTTCAACATAGAAAAGACAAAAATAGAAATATAAGGTGAAATTTCGTGTTTTAAATATTTTTTGAAGGAATTATGCGATTTTCGTGCATTTGTCGTCGTCTCTTACAATTTGAATGATATACAATTTGAAGATACTAACAATAACACATACGAGAATCGCTCTCCAAACAAACCATTAATTAATCAATGGACTCCCAAATTCGAAATGTTAAGGATATTCAGTATTCATATCTATATTGCAAAATATAAAGTTAGGGGTCTTGAATTGTACCATGAATTCAAGTTAGCCAATTTAAAACAAAATACAGAACCCACACCTCACTTTAAACAATTAACAAATATGTTCTGATTAACATTTTGATTAATAAAACCAATAGTATTTAAAAATCTACAAAGCGTGCCGACATAAAAAAAAATATGATAAAAAGTGAATTTAGCTGAAAAACAAGTACGGCCGCCATTGCTAAATAAGAACTAAAAGTAATAAAACATTTATGACGATAACTTCAGGCACAATGCTCCAATTTAAAAATAAAAGTAGGTAAAAATGGGAAGTTACTTTTCTCTAGTGTACTAAACTTAAGGATTATGATTGGTGGGAGTGTCGATCTTTTCGCGTTCGTAATATTTTTGATTTTTAGGCTTAGAAAAAACTGTGAAAGGAATGCTTGAAGATTCTAGTCAAGGAGCAGAATTGAAATATAGTCAAGCTTTGCAAGTTGATTTAGTAAATTCCACATTAGTTGATGGAAACGATATGGCAGCAATTGATATACAGAGAGGACGAGAACTTGGTTTACCATCGTATAACACATTCCGTGAATAATAAAATTAAATAATTAAAACAAGGACCTTTGTTTCCAAACCTCGACTTCAATATAGTCCAAGATGGCAAGATGAGATGGAAAAAGAGGAGAGAGGACGATGGGATTGTTTTTTTTTTTAGTTTCGAGTTCACTATATTTTAATTCATGTCTATAATATTACAGGCATATAGACGATGTTCGGCGGACTTTCTGAACCTCCAGTAGACGGTGGTATTGTTGGACCAACATTTGCTTGTATCATTGGCCAACAATTCAAAAATCTGAAATACGGAGATCGATTTTGGTTTGAAAATGAACGAATTCTGAATTCCGAACATTCTGGATATTCTTTGGGTATGGCGTTTATAAATTCAATTATGAGGATAAACGATTAATTGTTCACTCAAGGCTACTTTCTTTCATTCACGTTCCGTCGTACGGCGACTGGAAATGAACTTGGTCGCAGTCAAATGAGGGAAAACTAAAGAAAAAGTTGCAAAAAATAACTAACTTTAAAGATATAATGTAATTAAGGCCCTTTACCACGCTTATGGCGACGATCCGAGCCAATTTTCCGCTACAGTTGGAGCAGTAATAACGCCTTTCTGTTGTGACGGGACCATTACAGAGTAAAGTTTTTATCGTTATCAGGGTTAGCTCAGTCGGTCTATTCCCTCCTTGTCTCTGCTCAGCTACGAAGTCGAACTGCGTGTGAATTGTTGAATAAGAAATATGAACATATTCGTGCATTCTAATGGTCTATAATCAGAAACCTAGTGTAGAAACAACGGAGTATATGTATATAATATATTGTTGAATTTAACCAATTTCCGAAATTGATTATCTGTATATTTTAGGTCAGTTAATCGAAATCCGTGATCTGAACTTTTCGCGAATTATTTGTGATACCACTGACATTAATGTCATAACCATCAACCCTTTTATGCATGCAACAGGAGAGTAAGTCATCATCTTCAAGTTTTGTATTTATTTAAAAAGACAGCCTTTTTTTTCGTAAATCGGACTTTTTTTCTCATATCTACAAAAACTATACACCTAAATGTCGAAAACATGTCTGGAAGTTTATACTTGAAGTATATTGTCGTTCTTTGATTGTTGTTAGAAAACTTTGTACTAGTTTTAGCAAAAACTTAAGCTTGACGTTTCTGCATTTCGAGAGAAGTTCGGATTGTTTGTTTAATACAAGACAGGTTTTCAGTTAAACACAGGTAACATCGGTAGGTTTTAATTGTGTTCGTTGCTATCAATAAACTGATATATTTTGTTATATTTACAGTGATGGCAGTGGTGGCAGTCAGCAAGTTAATTGTACTGATATGCAAAGTCGTCCAACAATGAAGCTGTATTTTTGGGCTGGTGGATCTTGAATTCGGGGAAGAAGATTGTCATAATGTAATTTATTAAACTTTCTCCATTGAACGTGTTTATTTTTCACTGTCACTCACTCAATGGTTTAATTCTGATGTACACAAATCTTTTCTCTATACATCTATTTACAAAACCAGTGACTGTTCTTCAATATACCCAGTCATACCTGATATCATTACACTAACATAACATAACATTCATATAACCCTTCAATGTTATAATATAGAACTTAGTTTACCATAATATAACCAACTAATAATATAATATAACATTACAATAACATAACATCAATATAACCCCTCAATGTTATAATATAGAACTTAGTTTACCATAATATAACCAACTAATAATATAATATAACATTACAATAACATAGCATCAATATAACCCCTCAATGTTATAATATAGAACTTAGTTTACCATAATATAACCAACTAATAATATAATATAACATTACAATAACATAACATCAATATAACCCCTCAATGTTATAATATAGAACTTAGTTTACCATAATATAACCAACTAATAATATAATATAACATTACAATAACATAGCATCAATATAACCCCTCAATGTTATAATATAGAACTGTCTTAGTTTACTATAATATAACCAACTAAAAATATAATATAACATTACAATAACAACATCAATATAACCCCTCAATGTTATAATATAGAACTGTCTTAGTTTAACATCATATAACCAACTAAAAATATAATATAACATTACAATAACATAGCATCAATATAACCCCTCAATGTTATAATATAGAACTGTCTTAGTTTATCATCACATAACCAACTAATAATATAATATAACATTACAATAACATAGCATCAATATAACCCCTCAATGTTATAATATAGAACTGTCTTAGTTTATCATCACATAACCAACTAATAATATAATATAACATTACAATAACATAACATCAATATAACCCCTCAATGTTATAATATAGAACTGTCATAGTTTACCATCATATAACCAACTAATAATATAATATAACATTACAATCACATAGCATCAATATAACCCCTCAATGTTATAATATAGAACTTAAGTTTACCATCATATAACCAACTAATAATATAATATAACATTACAATAACATAGCATCAATATAACCCCTCAATGTTATAATATAGAACTGTCTTAGTTTAACATCATATAACCAACTAAAAATATAATATAACATTACAATAACATAACATCAATATAACCCCGCAATGTTATAATATAGAACTGTCATAGTTTACCATCATATAACCAACTAATAATATAATATAACATTACAATCACATAGCATCAATATAACCCCTCAATGTTATAATATAGAACTTAGTTTACCATAATATAACCAACTAATAATATAATATAACATTACAATAACATAATGAGAGAAGTCGTCGACAAAAATCAAATCTGACCTGATTATCAACGTGTGTTGTTTTTGTCATTTGATTAATTGAGAGGTTTATCGTGATGCAGTATAAATTAGTTCTAGTATTTTTTACAAATTGAGGATATTGAGGTGACATTTCTGAAGTATAATTATATAATTGATTTATTTATCAAATACCCGAAAGTTTTAATTTCTGGTTCAAAGATTGTAGGCTTAAAAGCATCGGAGTCAAAAGGCTTGAAATTCATGGGATAAGGTCTCGTTGCTTTTGATGTCTTCCTTTAGTAAAGAATTATTGTTGAAGTGTTTGATTTTTTCTTCAAAGATGATTGGGTTTTTTCTTTTCTTGTCAATATGGGAAAAATCTAAATCATTCACATTTTTGGTGAGCAAAACTTGAATATCAGTAGGAATGAATGATGGATTCTTTTCTTTTATCCAATAATTTATAAGTTCTTCAATCCTATTGTTTTCTTGTAGTTCTTCATCATTTTCATATATTTGGAATATATTTGTTACAAGTATGTCCTGTTTTGGTAAATATTCTAAGGCTTTCAGAAAGAGGTTTGTTTTTCCTGAATCCGATTGACCAACACTACACATTAACATTGGGTTTGGTGGAAATTTGTCTGAATGTTTAAATTTTGAAGCCATTTTTTAATAATTAAATTTTAGTGGGGTTTAGTAGAACACCGTCTCCTTGTCGATATTTTGAAACCATCACCACTGCGAATGCCTTTTAGTATTATTTCCTTTCCTTCTTTGTTTTCAATCTTCGTTTCACCTGTATCGATTTGATCAATTAAATTAGACAAACCTTCTTTTACTGTTTTCTTAGTTTCCTGAGTGAATTGTTTGATTGTTGATAAGATATCTTTTATGTAGTTATGTCTACGTTTTTCTCTGGTTTTTTTCTAATTTAGTATTTGAATTGATTTCTCCAAAAAATATTTTATCATTATTTATTGTTCTTTGCAGATGGAATTTGACAGGAAGACCAATGTAAACCTTTCTATGTTCAGGTAAACCTAATAGTGGATATAGAGGCCATTTAACATAAGTTTCCCAACTTTTACCATCAATAGTTTGATTGTATAAAAGAACTCTTTTTATAACCTGTATTATTTTCGAATTTTGACACGTTAATCAAATTTCTAACAGCAGTTGTAACTCTTCCTTAGTTGGCGTCTGTTATATGGTCACAAGGTATATTTGTCATGGTATGTTGGTCTCAAGATATATGGGTAATACATACTGTTCTCAGTAACATGGTCAATAATATTTAAACAGTTTCATCATCTTTATTATCTGCCAAAAATGGGTTTATTAAAAAAACAAAAAAACAAATAATTTCAAAATATTAATGCATATTGATATTCATACGTCAAATTCACCCTTTACATATTAGAGACGTTATTTATAGATAAATAGGACTTTCATAAAATAGGTATACATTTTAAACGTTTATAAAAAGAGAAAAACACAGTAATCAGGAAGTAATACTAGATGACTCTAAAAAATAAAATCTGGTAAACAAGATAATATATCTGTATGTAATCTGATACTAAAAAACAAACAATCAACCGAACTGAAAACTAAATTGAATTAACCATAAAGAAATAGACTTTAATCAAGCAAATAAATTATGGTTTTAAGACTATTATTTCATAGGGCCAACTGTGTACAGAGTAAACATGTCGTTTCTTATAGGCATGTAATATGAGGTGATTACTCCTTCTATTTTACCTCACAGGTTTATATAGGGACCTACATGATCATGGTGTTCTTATTTCAACTAAGCTTCAGAACAAGCAGAGCATGTTATATATGTTTTATTTTCAACTAGGAACTCTCCAGTGTTTTTTATATCTGAATGATCCATTTTCAACCAGGACATCTCCAATGTGTTTTATATCTGAATGTTCCATTTTCAACTAGGACATCTCCAGTGTGTTTTATATCTGAATGTTCCATTTTCAACTAGGACATCTCCAGTGTGTTTTATATCTGAATGTTCCATTTTCAACTAGGACATCTCCAGTGTGTTTTATATCTGAATGTTCCATTTTCAACTAGGACATCTCCAGTGTGTTTTATATCTGAATGTTCCATTTTCAACTAGGACATCTCCAGTGTGTTTTATATCTGAATGTTCCATTTTCAACTAGGACATCTCCAATGTGTTTTATATCTGAATGTTCCATTTTCAACTAGGACATCTCCAGTGTGTTTTATATCTGAATGTTCCATTTTCAACCAGGACATCTCCAATGTGTTTTATATCTGAATGTTCCATTTTCAACTAGGACATCTCCAGTGTGTTTTATATCTTAATGTTCCATTTTCAACTAGGACATCTCCAGTGTGTTTTATATCTGAATGTTCCATTTTCAACTAGGACATCTCCAGTGTGTTTTATATCTGAATGTTCCATTTTCAACTAGGACATCTCCAGTGTGTTTTATACTTGAAATTCCTATTTTCACACAGAAATTTCCAATGTGTTTTATTCCTGAATGTTGTATTTTCAACCATAAGGCCTAGATCTTGAATGTGTGTTATTAAAGAATAAAATGGCCACATCGTCAGTGGGTAACCTACCAGAATGTTCTGTTTGTTGTGAAAGCTTTGAGATTGCACCTAAATTTTTACCATGTGGACATACTTTTTGTTTGCCCTGTATAAAAAGATGTATAGCTGATAAAAGAGAGACATTCCCTTGTCCATTCTGTAGGAGTAATGTTAAGATTCCAGAAGGTGGTGCCAAGAACTTTCCTGACAACTATATAGTTCAAACATCCAAACATACAACAAAAACACCACAGCCAAAATGTCCCAATCACAGTCAGAAGGAGGTGGATCTTTACTGTAGTAATTGTAATGTAGGATTATGTTTAAAATGTATATTTATACAACACAAAGATCATGAAACTCTGGATATAGAATCTGATGATACCCGGAATAAAGCCATAGAAAAACTTCAACGTTCACAAAGAACCATCCAAAACCGAATCAAACACTTGGTGAAAACTCGCTCTACATTATTAGAATCATTGGAACAACTGGAATCTTTGTGTGAAGAGTCCTGCGTTAAAGTGACTGAAAAAACTGAGCAAATTGTTTCAAATTTAAGACGAAGTTGTGAACAGATTATAACAGACATCGGAAAAAATTTGGAAGAAAATAGAAGTAAAGTAGAGGATAGAGAAAAGAAACTAACAAGAGAAATAACTTTATTAGAAAGGGAGATGGAATCAAATATTTCACCTTCAACAAAAACAACATTAAACATTTTACAAACATTGCCTCGTTTGATTAAAATAGAAAAACAGAGTGAAAGTAGGAAATGTTATAATCTGTGTGTACAGTATTCACAGTGGGTTGGGAAGGAATTTAGTTTTGATATAGATCAGTTAGGGTCTGTTATTTCTAAACCCTTTTACATACCAGGTTCGTATCAGTTTATATTTAATGTAAGTGATATAGGGAAAGGTGGGACAATTTATTACAGCAAGAATAAGTTTAGATGCAACAACTTGGTATGGAGCTGTGGTGTAGATAGGGATAGTGATGATGGAATATATATTGGTGTTCAACTATTATCAACTGATAATCCTAAATTAAACTATTGTATTATTGATTATCAAGTCAGCATATTGAATATTGATGATGACAGTAAAACTATAACTAGAACAGATAGTGGCTGGAGATTTTATAGAGAGAGATATTGGGGATGGATATATCCTATCGCTTGGTCTGATCTCAATAGCAATGGTTATTTAAATTCTAACGGTCAGTTTGTGGTTCAATGTAATATAACACAGATCATTGAAATATCATGGGGAGCCGCGGTGGCTCAATGACCGGAAGGTCCAGGGTTCAATCCCGGCATTTCATTTCATTGAAATATCATGGAAATAGAGTTGAATCAGTAAAATTACTAGAACCGACATCATAATCTCTGTCCGAAATTGTATTCTATGTAAATATTTGATTATACGTACTATATATTTGTATTTCATTGTAAATATTTGAATATAGGCCTATCTATATTTTATATAAAAGATTTTATTTTCTAGATATTTTATTAAAAATTTCTATATGGTTGATTTGATCATGATTTATTTGCTATTATGAATTTGTATTTTGTAATTTTATCATATTATATTAAATATATGGATGTCTGAAAGGGACAGGTGTGCCATTTTCGGGAGTTGATTTGGGTCTTGAATATATGTAATTAGTCTTCAGAAGTACTAGAAATGTACAATATCACGTTGACAAGCCTAACTCGACAATTTGTTTATATGTCTAGGACAAATAACTCAACACGTTTCTTCAGAAAATCACCCATTTTGGAATTGACTGAGTTATCATCGACCAGGCCATTCATATTGCCTTGAAAACCCCGATTTGACTTATTTTTTATGTGTTAAGGGGAATGACTAAAATCATCAATTTCTGACATGTATGAGATAGCATCAATTTATGTAATCAAGCCATGTATTATAAGGATTGGATAAAAATTATAGATTTTCTGGTATATCATATTATCATACTGCCTATCATTCATATCCATATCCCTTATTCAACCCGTAATGCAAAATTATTTTAAAGTTTAGGAACCACCTAAGAGCTTCACAATCACTCCTAACTGTGAATCTCTGGCACCTTTAATAGACCGGAACACCTGCCTCTGTCCCAGCTCGTTTGAAATTTTTTGGTGTAAAGACAAAATAACTAGGCTTTGTTTTACGGGAATTTTTCAGCGGGGTTTTTAAACCTATATTTATTTCTTAAATCGGACCCCAAAACCCAAATATATTTGGAAATATGGATATTTTTGTAGTTCAGTTTTATCATTATAATCCCCTACAACATTTATGTCACGTCATTTAAAAAGTTCAAGAATAACAAAGTCACATGATACTAACAAAACAAAAATTATGGTGATTCACAACACGAATTTAAATTCATCTTAATCCAAGACAGGCTTGAGACTATGATGTCTCTAGATTTTTTAATTTCAGCCTCGACAGTGAAGTGTTTGTTCCATGCTTGGTCTGTACTTTTGGGAGAATCAAATCTCCCTTCCTCGCAATTTGCATGGCGATCAGCGATTAGGTTGCTGATGTCTGCCTTCATCCTAATTTCATCAGAAATAACTGTTGTCGGAAATGAAATGGAATGAATGAAGTTTTACGTCCTTCTTTTCGGCACCATGTGGGCTAATGAGGACGGGATCACCATCAACGAAGAAAATCCTGTTTCAAAACTTTCAAATGTGAAGAAACTATCATAGCTGTTTGGCTCTTGGCACTTTATGACAATAATTCAACCATGAGCTTTGAGACTTACTTGTCGGAAAGTTTATTTGGTATTTCAATATTGCGTCTGGTTTGGTCTGGTTGTTCAAACGTTTATTTAGAAGGAATCTAATTGGTAGGTAAGTAAATTTTCTACCAATCAAAATTAATGATCATGGATAAGACAGGATGTCGTTATTTATTTATTAACTATTTAACTGGTAAATATGTAGAAGACGATATTACTTTAATCCGTTTAAACAATATGAGTGAGATTACTTAAAACTGTTTGGTTGGTTAAGAAACCAGGTGGCACTGTACTAAAATCAAAGATGGCGTCACCCCAGGTATATGTAGCAAAAACTAAAAGTGGTACAGCGATTATATTCAGTATAAACCCAGCACTCGCCTGAAATAATTTAATTTGATAATATTTCAATTACATACGAACTATGTGTTACTTTTACATTCTGAAATATGATACAGATAGCTGTAATTTTACTTTATAATCTAAAAAAAGGTATGAGAAAGTTACTACACCCGAATTTATAGTTTTGAGGAGGGTTCTATAACTTCGACACCATACAACATTGCCCCTGCTGGAGATGTGTTGCTTGCCCCTCCGAACAATCACGTCTGGCTATGAACCTGGAATCTATAGGTGTTCCCTATGCTTGTCTGAGGAATGATCAGGATACTCATACAAAGGCTAGAAAACATGCATCAATTCAAAGTGTTTAAACATACCATATCGATGACCTTTAAATGTCCATAAGAAAAGACGAGGGCGTTTGGTGGTGTAGCAACAGGCAACATGTAAGCGAATGAGGTGGAGATGGCCGCTGGTAGAATATAGAACAAGGGATTCACCCCGGTATTAATTGCCTGTAAATATAAACAATAAACAGTATAGAAAATATATCCGTGGACGATTCAATAGCTGTTTTACATATTAAAGGTAAGTCACCTCTTAGGTCAATCAAAGAATTGAAAATTCTAAACTTAATGAATCTTTGTTCATTGGTGAACTTACTTGGTGTTATAGTATACACAAGAATTCCTTTATAATCCAATAAATCCATAAAACTAACTAATCCATTAAACTTATTAATCTTAAAGCATGTTTCGATAATTATTTAGTTTAATGGATATATTTTATGGAGATTGTATTCTTTAGTCATGGCACCTGGTAAGTCTTAGTTTGAGTTTATGTCAATTCTAAGAGGTAGGCTAGTATCATTTTAAGGTAATTTAAGATAAATTAAATGTACAATATAAGATAATATATAAACATAAAAGGTGGAATCGCTGATACCCTATCAGGAAAAAAACCTCAAGATATCTTAAGTGGACTAATTTTTCACAATAAATATCCCAGAATTCCTCACAGGTAGGATAAATCTTTTATTTAGTTGGGAATTTGATTTATTTTATTTAGTTGGGAATTTGATTGGTTGAATATATTATTTATCTTGAACATAATTGCTTTACAATTTTGTCAGATCATAGATGACATAAGGGATTCACAAACCGAAACAGACATGAAATTAATTATCTTGTTCTTAATTTTATAATAATAAAATATTTGCGATGTTAATACATCAATTGTTGAGTGATATAGAACGATTGCTTAATTTTAATCAAATTGTAACGATTAGACAGTAAGTTGATTCTTATTTCTTTGATATAGTACATGAGGACATAAAACTCAATTCCACCATGAATTCGAAGTATACTCACCAAACTCGACAATATTGGCATTATTATTGTTGCTATAGCAACGTTACTGGTAACTTCCGTGAAAAAACTGCAAACATAGCAGAGAATGAGTAGCATCAACCAGGGGTTCAAACCTTTAAATACTTCTAACTGTTCTCCTATCCATAACGACAGTCCAGAATCCTGGTAAAATATACAGAATATAGATTAGAATATGGTTTATTACGTGAAAATCTTAATTAAAATGTCTATGGTCGGCATCATGGAAATATGATAAATCTATGTCTTTGATAGACATTGTAGGACAAGCCATTGATCAGTAGCCTATGTGGTCGTCCTTATCAAATAGTCTTCATCACGGACAAATATGATAAATCTGTGTTGTCCACATTGATAATGCAGTTCATATACATTGGTGATTATATGGACGTCTTTACAATTCTATGGTCGACATCACCAAATTATGGCAATCTATGTGTTCTAGACATATTGCTATAAGCCATATGAAAATAAATATAAGTTTTTGCCCTTTAACTAAACCAACCTGACAGCCTTTAGCTAAGGCGAATCCCCCTCCCAGCAGCAGAAACAAAGACCAGGGAAGTTTTTCATGAGCATCTTTCCACGTTAATAAGGCACGGGTTGGTTTTGGTTTTTCATCTGTAAAAATATTCAATATTTGAGAAATGGAATACTGATAAGCAGAAGGTGGATTTCGACTTGTCTGAGTATAGGTGTATGAACATAAAATTTTAAGAAGGCAGTCGCAGTCCTTCTTCCTTTGCAGGCGTGTGTACCATCTGAATCTAAACAAGACTCCCCACCCCGCCTGTTCCCTTCACGTATGTGCTGTTAACGAACAAATAAACCAAGTACTAACAATCCGAATGTTAGCGATAGTCCAACATTTGTTTGTGCATGACACAACAGATGATCGGCTAAGAGATCTTTAATTGTTTACCTTCGTCAGTTCCCCAGCAAAATATTGCAGGTTTTTCAGCAGGCAAAACAAATAATAAAACAGCCAGTAGGACGGCGGGAGTGGAATCTCGAACATATCTGAAAATACAACAAAACAATCAATTTACCATAAAATGGACGTGGATATTATACACGTTCAAAATAACGTAAAGGTCTGCGTCCTCCACCGCCCGTTTCTATACTTCCAGAGGTCAGTGGCTTAACTAGACGTAGCCCGTGGATGTGTCATGTAAAGAGAACTAACCCGTCTTTAAATAAATCGCCCCATCCTCCTACTCCTCCTAAATCCCGGCTAATCCAACAAACCACTAAAATACCAAACAGTACTAACACCGAACCTTGCGCATATCTGAAATAACAAAATATAACGTATAGATACATACAGCGTAATTATTAAACTCGACAGTAGAGTTTTAAGCTATTGTCTTACAGCTGAAGTAAATATTTACACGACTTTGTTCTTAAAGAGGGGAGAATGAGCCAGCCTATGTGATGGAACTGGATTTACCCGAAGAACCTGGACGTTCACCAGAACTTACTACGTGATGTGCATGAACTTGCGTGATGCATCTGGCTTTACGTGATTCACCTGGAGTTCCGTGCCGAACCTGAACTAACGTGATTCACCTGGAGTTCCGTGCCGAACCTGAACTAACGTGATTCACCTGGAGTTCCGTGCCAAACCTGAACTAACGTGATTCACTTGGAGTAACGTGACGAACCTGGACTAACGTGATTCACCTGGAGTTCCGTGCTTAACAGTAACTAACGTGATTCACCTGGAGTTACGTGCTTAACAGTAACTAACGTGATTCACCTGGAGTTACGTGCTTAACAGTAACTAACGTGATTCACCTGGAGTTACGTGCTTAACAGTAACTAACGTGATTCACCTGGAGTTACGTGCTTAACAGTAACTAACGTGATTCACCTGGAGTTCCGTGCTTAACAGTAACTAACGTGATTCACCTGGAGTTACGTGCTTAACAGTAACTAACGTGATTCACCTGGAGTTACGTGCTTAACAGTAACTAACGTGATTCACCTGGAGTTACTTGCTTAACAGTAACTAGGACTAACGTGATTCACCTGGAGTAACGTGACGAACCTGGACTAACGTGATTCACCTGGAGTAACGTGACGAACCTGGACTAACTTGATGCACACGAATTTACGTGACGAACTTTAACTAACGTTATGCACACGAATTTACGTGATGCACATGAACTTAAATGATGAACTTAAAGTCAATGGCGTATTCCGATGCCCCCACCCCCCTCGTTAATGAAATCCTGGCTACCCCAAGGCTTGAACTTACACGGTGGACTTGAACTTACATGATGGACTCGAACTTACATGATGCACATGAACCTACGTGGTGAATCTAGAATGATCTGATGGATTCTGACTAACACGATGGTACACACACTTGACTTATGTATACACTGAATGGACTTGGTGGTACTTTACTACGTGATGGTACTTTACTACGCGATGGTACTTTACTACGCGATGGTACTTTACTACGTGATGGTACTTTACTACGTGATGGTACTTCACAACATAAAGTTCAACCCAACTTGACTTACGTGATGGGACCTAAAGCGTCATATTGATCCCGGATGACTTGTTTCACTCTCCTACCTCTTTCTTTTTTATCTTCAACATTCGAGCAGCAACAACATCCTCCTCTGGAAAATACATTACGGAATAGATTTCACGAATTGCTTTATGCAAGAGTTATTCTCTTTGTGGACTATACGATATAGGCGTATGAAACGTCTGTTTTTCTATAACGTATTTAGGGCAGTCGTAGCAAACTTTCAGACAAAACTTTTGTATTTGTGGGTGCTAAAATATTACAGACGGGCAGATATTATAGCGAGTTCTACATCTACGACTCTTGTGGCTCCGTGACTTGTTTAGCCAACCCGTAATCAAGGATAATTCAGTGACTTACCTGCACCGTAAAAAGGCAATTTGTAACCAAATCCAGCAAATAATGAAAATAGTGAATCCAAGAGGAAGTCCAAATCCCATCCACATTGTAAAATGTACCGGCGATTCTTCTCCATATTTGGCATACAGTCTGCAAAAAGAATGGCCTCTTTCTTTGTAAATATATACAAACTATCTGGGCTCCAAATAAAATAGTATAGCTATGACCCCGTTCTATATTTGCATTACTAGCTATTTGGACCTTTTAGATGAGTTGACAAGTCGAGACCAAATAGACGGATGTCTCTGCTGACGAACATATTGTCTCAGAGATTATTCATTGCTCCACAATGATAGATATCGTGGCAGAGGAGGTTGATAAGGTAGTTATTGTTCACTTAGAACACATGATACCACACTTCTACTGGGGTTGCCAGTTTGTCTGATTTTGGAACATGTCAAGACCCTTCTGAATAATACCTACTCTTCTGCGTGACCTTTTAACACCAGGTTAGGTCCTGTACCAGTGAGGGAACAAATACCACCGGAATTGGCAGCATAGGCTATGCATAACGACACAGCCTTACATATTCTCTTATAATGAGTTGCTTCATCATCCGTTACTTCAGTAGACTGCTCGTTGTCTGTGGAGTCGATCTGTTTTCCATTGATATGAACATCAGTCAATTCTACTGACTCTAAAATGATTCAAATGCATTGTGAAAGCTAAGGTGCTGATAAAAGCTATACACAATACAACTTCTATAAAGCAAAGAGATCGATCATAAGTATTTCAAAGGAGGTTTCCTAGCCTTTGTCAATCCGCGAAACTAATACATGTAACTTCTTTTGGAATTGGAGTTCCTCATCGACGAATTAAGAGATCATAAACACAGATTTGAATGATTTAAACAGTTTGTATTGGCAGTACGAGGACGTGGTTCTTCTTGATCCGATCACATCTTCGCAATCTCTCAAATAGAATTTAGCTTAAATTGTTTCTTGTACTTGTGAAGTCATTCAGTGGTCAACCTGTTCATCTCAGGGATCATGTACAGAATTAGGAAAGGTTGAAATAGAAGCTGTAAGTGTAGGACTGGAAATCGTAGTGTGCCTGAACGGTCTGCCGTGATAATTCTACAAGCCCCCTGCAACAAATCACGGTCATGAATTGCAGAAATCCTGAACTATGTCAATACTGTCACATGATCAGAATTACACAATTTTATTTACCTTTAACATCGAATGTTTTTTCATTATCATGTAGTTTGTCACTAGTTCCCTTGAGTTGTATAAGAATAGCTTGAGCTATAGGAATCATCATAGCAGTTGTGGCTGAGTTGCTGATCCACATTGATAGAAACCACGTGGATATCATCAAACCCAGCATCAACCTGTAATATATAACACGGTAACGGTGCAAGGGTAATTAGAAGTTCCCATTACCCACCACCAGTCCTGCTGCGTATTTCATATTCAATACATGTGTTTAGAGATGAACTCTTGTCAACACGGTCTCGGCGGAAGGGTTATTTGAAGCTCCCATTGCCAACCAGCAGACCTGGTGAGATAAACTCTTGTCGGGCTCGGTGAAAGAGTTGTTTGAAGTACCAACTTTCAACTTGATGTCTTGATCAGTTGCGGAGCCAGTGGTGTTTTGTTTTGGTTTAGTGATTTCATGTTTGGTCTACCTACCATCTAGGTTCGGTTCCAACGACCAATAAAACTCGCAATGCCATTAATCTGTGAATATTCCATGTTTCTATGGCAACAGCCATCACTAAACCTCCAAGAAATACCATTATAGTGTCCTTTAAATAAATAAAGTAAGTTATTAACAAATTAATTTATGACAGATAATAATAATAATAATAATAAAGGGCAAATTTCATCAAATAGGGTAAGAAATTAAGTGCTATAAAAATAGCTAAATTGCACCTAAACCAACATGATGAAGTTTTAACAACTTACGGACATGTAGGCCGGAGCTATTTCTTTAGCCTTGATAACTCCCAACATCGGGAACATAAAAACCGGAAGTAGAGCTGTCACTGATATAGGAACCACTTCCGTTATCCAAAACACGGCCATTAGTATTAAAACATAAGCTGTTTTCGCCTCCTAGAATTGCAAGAAAATATTCCATAGCCTGGATTGCTGTATATAAGCAAAGTGAAAGAAGTTTATAAAACAGTGACTACTACCCCTATAGTAATAAACGGAAAAGCTAAGAACAGTTTTGCAAAGTATTATATATATATAAATATATATAATATGTCCGAAGGAAGTATGCTCATTCTCCCCTTTTCAGGCCCGAAGCTACAGCAGGACAAGGGGTGAGGGACATGAATGGATTGCCCCCACCCCCTGCAAACATGTTAAAGCGTTCTACTCTTCTGCTTCAACTGAGTTAATGAAATGAAATGAAGTGTGACAATCTAATTTTATGTATCCCATTCGCGTCAATCTATCCTGCTTCTGGTTAAGTGAACGAAATGAAACTGATTCTACTGTTCTGCTTCTAATTCAATTAATAAAATGAAATAGAGTGTTACATCCTACTTTTCTGTTAATTTCTGTTAAAACGTCCTACTTTTCTGCTTCAAACTGGGCAAAATGAAACGGCGTTTTTCATTCTACATTAGTGCTTCTGATTTGGTTAATAAAGTGGATTTGTTTCTGCTGTTAATTTGGTTAACTAAATGAAATATAGTGTAACATCCTATTTTATATACCTTATACGGCTAATGAAATCAAACAGAGCTTCACATCCTACTATTATGATTCTTGATGGAATCACGATTTGAAGTTTTGTGTCCGTGTTTTTGCTCCTAAATGGACAAATGAAGACAGGCGTCTATTTGAGGTGATATTTCATGTTTGTATAGGGCACAGTAGAGACAACTTAAAAGGAGAAATGCCATTTTTTGACCAATCATACTTTTATCTCAAAAACGGGAATTGTTTAGCTAAACTAATCAGTATTAATGCTTACAGATCACCGTAGAAATCTGAGCCTTTCTAATCCATGTGTGTCCAGAATTATTTGCGCTTGAAAGTCCTTTTTTGAGATACTGAAAAGACATCTATAAAATAAGAAAATAAAATCCTAGTTTGAGATATTTTTGAAGGGATTATGCGATTCCTGGCGCACCTGTTGCTTTAATATTATATGAATTTATAAAATATAGGTAGAAATATTTGTATGTGTCATTACAATGCATGTAGATAAAATAACATGTCATTCACCATGTTAAAAAGACATGTAATATAATAAATATGACAACAACATTACGCTGAGGATCTGTTAAAACATTTTATTACAAATTTTAAATGTGTGTCGACCTAAAACCTCCATATAGAATAGGCAATAAATAAATAGATTGTTAAGTCCTACTGCAAAGGCACAGGTGCGCCAGAAGTACTGGAAACAAACGAAAATCGCACAATTCCTTCAAACATATCTTATGCTAGGAAATTTTATATGTCTATTCCATATATCCCAAAGTATCTTAAAATAACGAGTCGTCATTTTAACATTCAAACACGGATAATTCTGGTCACACATAGATTTGGAGGCTTAAATTTCGACAGTGAGCTGTAAACACTGATTGACAAAGTTAAAAATTCCCGTTTCTGAGATCAAAGTAAGATTGGTCACAGGGCTGATGAATTGTTACGGTGTTTTATGTCCTACTATGTTGTACACTAAAAGGCCAAAGAAATGTAATGGAATTTTACGTCCCAATGCTCTATAAAATACAAAGATACAAAGAAGTGAAGTTTTATATCCCACTTTTCTGTGCCATCTTGGATCTGTAACGAACTTGTTCTTCTTCAAATAATGCCAAATATCATCAAAAGTTGTCATAACTTTATGCTGTCCAATCAAAACTATTGTCACAAGTAAATGCTAACAATATATACACCAGATTATAGTCAGAAAATCTTTAACAGAGAATTTAATTGGTTGAATATTATTTATATTATAAGCATGAGATGCATAAAAAGCTGGTCAGATCATGGATGGAATATTTTTGGTCATACCTTTTGGCTAAAAAGCCAAACCTTTGGGAATTATGAAGCAATGATCCTGTTGGATTGTGAAGCCATGACCCTGATTGATCAACTCATACGACGAAAAATATAATTGGGTCCCATTTCAGTTCTACTTCAATTTAAAATATATCTTACCTGTGTACCAATGTGTAGTGGTAAAGGCAATAGAACTAATGGAGATATAAACATAATTAATAATACACGGATGCTCCATAACTGTTTCAATACATTCGCCATTTTTAATCCTGTGAGATGTGAAGAAATTTTCTGGTAATTGTCTTAAATGATGGTTCATTAAAAGTGGACGACTCTTTCAATAGTCAACGTAGATGTAATGCTGTATCTTCACCATGCTCATAAAGGTCAATTTAAACATTTATGCTGTAAACATTTTCGATTTTTGATAAAACACAACAACACAGACTTTATGTGATGCTATGTACTTATGCCTAATGCTTAATTTTCCAGAAATTAGTTTTTCAATTTAACAGAACATATAAATTGATAGATATTATACTGTGTTATTAATGTATTTATTGATGTATTGAAATTGTCCTATAAACAATGTTTACATATTTATGATAGAACTCCTTCACGATAAGTTCTGTTTTTTATTTTCAAAAATGTCACTTTTTTAACTTTAGTTATATACACAACTGCATTATCGTATTTTATAACTATTTAAATACTTTTCTTAGCCACCAAAACGCACAAAGGAAGTTATAGGCCTATTTCAAATACTACTGATAGATTTGATAAATAATCAATAACTGTGTATCCAATCAAATCCAAATCCTTTACCTAACCACAAAAGGGAATATCCAATGTCCAAGAACTAAAACATAAGGTGTATTCCGAGCAAGACCCGCGATCAATCAATCAGTTGAACGGCCGACGCGATGCAAACATAGTGCAAAGATATATCTAAAGATAAGTTTAATCTAAACAAAACATTACACTTTAGTGTCAACAAGTTCTTAAAGGGACACCACCACTACGCATAAACTGTAGCTATCAGAGGCTCGAATAACGGTAGATGTTTCGGACAAATGGTTCTTGTGCGTAACAAATTCTTACATGGAAATAACACACACGAACGTAGTTCACAACCATTTTGAATCCTTCCTATACTTAAAAACTAAACTTCAATAAAGGTTATATAAACCTTTAAATCACATTGCCAGGTTTAGAAATGGTTTAAGTGTTGTTTGAAGGCTTTGCTGAAATATTACAGCCTTTTTAAAAATTCGGCTTATCTAGTCGAGGTAGAAATTCAAAAGGCTGTGAACTGTGTACGTGTATGTTATTTCTATGTAAGAACCATACCTAATTTCGTGTTTGTTATTTCTATGTAAGAACCATACGTAGTTTCGTGTTTGTTATTCCTATGTAAGAACCATACGTAGTTTCGTGTTTGTTATTTCTATGTGAGAACCATACGTAGTTTCGTGTTTGTTATTTCTATGTGAGAACCATACGTAGTTTCGTGTTTGTTATTTCTATGTGAGAACCATACGTAGTTTCGTGTTTGTTATTTCTATGTGAGAACCATACGTAGTTTCGTGTTTGTTATTTCTATGTAAGAACCATACGTAGTTTCGTGTTTGTTATTTCTATGTAAGAACCATACGTAGTTTCGTGTTTGTTATTTCTACGTAAGAACCATACGTAGTTTTATGTATTTATACGTAGTTTCGTGTTTGTTATTTCTACGTAAGAACCATACGTAGTTTCGTGTTTGTTATTTCTATGTAAGAACCATACCTAATTTCGTGTTTGTTATTTCTATGTAAGAATCATATGTAGTTTTTTGTATTTATACGTAACTTCGTGAGTGTTATTTCTATGTAAGAACCATACGTAGTTTCGTGTTTGTTATTTCTATGTAAGAACCATACGTAACTTCGTGAGTGTTATTTCTATGTAAGAACCATACGTAGTTTCGTGTTTGTTATTTCTATGTGAGAACCATACGTAGTTTTGTGTTTGTTATTTCTACCTAAGAACCATACGTAGTGTTGTGTTTGTTATTTTTACATAAGAACCATACGTAGTTTTGTGTGTGTTTGGCTCCTAAAACATACATCAGTTTTCTTTCTCTTTTCTTTGTTCCATCTGAACATCTTAACCTTGGATTGGAGAGAAATTTTTAGGCAATTCCATGTGCCAAATACCAGGAACATTTGAAGCTTCTCTCTGTATCTTTCTAATTTCCTGTTCATCATCTCTGGTTCCTGTTATTTCAGAACGATTCTGCTAGATTGTGGCATACTGTCACAATTAAAGCCAAATATAATCTAGAACTATACCTGATACCGAAGAAAAGGCTGTGATTTGGCCACACCCGTTGGTTGCCAGACTTGATTGTTTGGAGGATCAAGTAATATATCCGGAGGGTCAATAATAGTATATGTTGTTAAGTTGCAGTAATGAAATGCTGACATTTTTCAGGTGGACAATCCAGGGAGCATTACCCTCCTGTCCCCTGTAGCTCCGTCCTGGATTTGACAAGTGCATGAGCCAAAATGTATTAGCTCAAAAGTTGGCGTATACCATATACATATTGTGCACTATGCACTATTTTTGTAAACATATGCCTAATATATAACTTATATGAGAAACCAGGGATTCCATATTTAAGTTATGTATATTGTTTACTGTTTATAAGCCCTATCTATATTGTTTATTTAGTGTTAACTTGTGTTTAAGCATCTCTCAAGGAGCATCAATATAACAATATCAACATTGAAGGTAAACACGGATTAAACCCGGATTATAGAGAGCCGTTGTTCACAATTAGGTTAATCGTGTCAAAAATTGTGTCTATCATGTCCTAACTTGTACTGTAATAGTTAGTATGTAAAGGTAATTAAAGGTTTCATAGTAGCGATATGGACGGGAAAGGATAAATTAACTTGAAAAACCCTGAAAATTAAACGACCTTGTCCTGATGGTGACAATTTCTAGGTTTTTTCTTCGTCGTATTTTGTGTTTCATTTAAATTTCGGAGGTGAAAATAGATTATTGTTATTTTGAATCAGATGTTTCGATTTGTCACGGTTTGTGATGCAATCGATTTTTATTTCGGGAAGCTTTCTAAAACAAACTGAAAATGATAGAGAATTTCTGTTTTGACCAAAGATTTTTAAATGGGCTGGAATCAGAAATGAATATCCTGTTTGAAAATATTGCTAAACCGGAAGTGACTTCCATTTGAAACTGTGAATTCGCAATATTTCAAACCGTTGGAACTTTTTTCTATACTTGTGAAATATGCAAGTGTTTCTACAGGAGAGTATCTCCTATAAACCTAAATTAGCAGACGATGTTAATTGGAGAGTACACTTTCTTTCAACAAAAAACCTTTCATTTTAAAGACTGTCAGTGGCTCATCTAGGTTAGTGGGGACGCTTTCTCGGGAATTTAACATAATATTTTGCTCTCTTGTATTCTGAGACCTGTCTAAGCCGAGCTAATGAATGTTAATGAAAGATTTAAATACCGTTTTATTTTTAAAATGATTATGATTCCATTATTCAACATGAACAAAAATTCCGCCAAATTGATTAGTTTCGTTTTGTAGTATGAAAATTTGCGATCCTTAAATTTAACAATAGACATACTCATTTTGACGCATTTTTTTATTGTCGGTAGTTGTGGTAAGAGTGGTTGGCCTGCTGGATTTTGAAACTCACTTCTTCTATTGCTATAAACTTGATATCTTAAAAATCTCTAAAAATATAGTCAATTCATGCATGTTTGGGCGAAGTATTGTACATGTGAGACAAAGACCTTTTTATGGTCTGAAATAGCTCACTTTCCTGAGTTGCCTCGTATCCTATCTCGTCGTTAATTTGTCTTATCTTCAACAAGCTTCTTTATATTCGTGATGTACAATCATATATTTTTACTCAAGGCTCGAAGTGAATTTGTAACTATTGATTTTAGGGGTTTCAGTTCAATTGAAGTGTATTCTACAAATGATGAATGAAAGTTTAACAATGGTCCTTTATATAATGTTGAGAAGATTTTAATAGGTTAAATGCACATAATATTTAAATTATTAAAATGTAGGATATTCATTATTGAATTTTGAATCGCAATATCAGCCCATTTGTGCCTATATAAAGCTTGTATAATCATAGGGAAAACACATCACAAATGATTTGTTACTCAATTACGCTACATTTTATACATTATAATATAATATAGAAATATATCAGTAGAGAAAATGGTTTTTGTATAAGAAATTGTTTTTTTATATTTTTCTTTATGAAAATATGTTTTTATGTTTAAGTGCAAAGAAATTCCAAGTAATTAAACTATCCGAAATATGAGGTAGGGTATGAATTTTACCTGTCCTGACGTCACCATTGTTGTTGTGATACAAAACTTTTGCAAATAATAGATATTCAAGTAAGTACATCAGATGCAAATAATTTCCAACTGTAGATAATGACCAAATTTAACACAATATTTATTATTGATTTATAAGCTAAATGATATAAGCAGGATGAAATAACTTTTAGGGATAGGTGCGTTATTTTAGGGAGTTGATTTGAATGTTGAATCTGTGTAAATAGACTTCAGAAGTACGATAAATGTTAGAAATTTGCAGACTTCCTTTAAAAGTACTTCAAACTAGGGCGGCAGTAAACTATGGTCACTATTACTGATTGACATTTGCCCCACCAGCAACAGAAAATTAAAGGACGCCCAATTCTTCAAGTGGGCGCCAAAAGCTCTGTTTAACACTTGTCAGCAAAACTTTGTCAGGCTGCAAAATTCATCTTTTTGGCTATAAATTCCTCTTGCAGGATATGGCATCAAATGGGAAGTATGGGGTAATATCTATTCAATGTCCCATCAGTCATAGAAGAAAGACCATGAATGTGCGTTGACACTTCTATTGCCAGATTTTGGAGTTCTAGCTTAAAAGAGAACACGTTATTATGAAATTTCTTTTTTTCATTCTCATTTCAATGCAAATTATACATTTAAATATCATTGCGAATATGAATAAGAATGATCATCATAAACTGTTGCAAAGCACCAGGTAAAATTTTGTCTAATTGTCCTTTTCTCTACCCACTGTCAGTTGAATTGAATTTTTTATATTTTGCAAATTCATGGATATTTCTTCCTCGAGCGAAAAGCTTTCTTCTCTTAACTTCTGGTCTTGTTTCATAATCTCTATGAAACACTGATTGTTTCTGAATACTGCTTAGTGTTTGTAAACTCTTAGGGGACAATTTTGCCCCTAAAAACTCTGCTTTTGTCTGTGTTGCCTCCTTTATCCCAATATTTGATCGAAGAATAGTCGATGATAGCCGCCCCATAGCATTTCTTCCATATTTGACACTTTTTGAAAGCGAAATGTTTATGGATCGAATTATTGACTCATATTTTTGAGTGTCTGTCTTATAACAGGTTTTGTCAATGGCTTCCTCACTTAATCTTATTTTCAAAAGTTCATTTAACAGAAACTTATCATTGTCATTCATTTTAGTTGTTTGAAGCCAGAAACATGGATCGATTCCACCAGTTGTTGCTGTGACCGCCACCACAGACCAGAGAGTTCGAACGGCACTTGGAACAGTCTCCATCGTAGCACACAACAGTTGCTTGTAGTATTTTCGGCAGCTGTTTTTTCAGTTTGTCCACATCTCCGGAGTAAGTAGAGTACATCTCTTTGATTACAAGGCTCCACCTGGATTTTATGTCCTGGCTCAAAGTTTTCTTTTGATTTGTCTTTTCAACTTTTGTTTTGCCTCTGAACATTCCGTCGCTAAAATTAGCCTTAAAACATTGGCGAAACTGAGATGCACTAAGATGGGCTGGGTCAGCTAGTCTTTCAACTTTCCAAATAATATGTAAAGTTCTCATTGCCTCTTCAATTCCGGTAGCTGACGTTGAATCTCCGTCTGTTGTGGCAAATTTGATGAGCAACCCTTGAATAGATAAATCTTCACCAATTATTCTCCCCATTTCTCTCTCAGATAAAGGTGCATGTCTTGTCAGATTTGCTGTGCATCCCTCGTGTCCAGGACAGTTGACAGTAATACCTGTGGTTCTTAGCCACGCCCCAGTCCAACAAAGTTTATTTTGCAACACAACACTTATGATATATTTCCTATCTGTGTTTGTCTCACAAGCAATGCTGATTGATTGGGATGCTCTTTGTCCAGGTTTCTTGCTGTTTCCTATGGTACCGACCAAGCCACATTTATCACGTTAGGGTTGGAAGCACCTCTTCGTCTATTGACATTTTTTACCTCTTCCATCTTAGTTCTCATGCTTTCATTGTTCAAGTCAGTTGTCTTTGAATTCACATAACTGGATAACTTGGACATACCACTTTCAGCTGGTGGGGGAATGTCTAAATCTGCCAGTAGAAGCCTAGTCCTTGAATTGCCTAAAGGCATGTCTAGCAATCCAGCTTGTAAGTTGATGTTTGTTGCAGCCGCTTTCCTATCTCTTTCGTCAGTCGTGATTTCCTTGTATAATTTTACTACAGGAGAGATGAATCCACAATTGAGGCATTTCAGTGAATATTTCCATCCAATTCCCCATTTTTCTTCTGTGTTGATCTTAAATTGTGGTACTGCATACACCTCGGCCTCTTCGTCTGCATGAGTCTGTATGGCTATATTCCACATTTCTACCATTTTTTCCACATTGATGATCCTGTTGCCTGAGATTTTATTTTGATCATAACTGCTTTTTTTCAGGCCTTGGTCGTAAAACCCTGTGACTTCCTGGAGAGTCTAGTTCAATATTCACACAGCTCAATTCTTGGTCTTCATACACTGCAGATCTACACTAATCCAAGAAGTATACCCAAGACTCTTAGAATATTAAAACGATCTGATTCTCTCCCCAGCTAAAGAATAAATGCCTCAAACCCTAACCACACTCCTATTTATCTCTGCCACCAGATGGCCAACATATGAAATATTTCTTTTGTAAAAAGATCCCTTGCTGTTCCTTAACCCTAATAGCCATGCCTGACCGATTCCCTTTCTGTACCCCTATAGCTCTGTTTCTAATTACTTACATAACCACCACGCCGATGTTAATAGAAAAGTGTTGAAGATACAGATTAAAGGCTATCACCCGTGATTTCCCTTATTTGGCGATTACATGTTGAATGTAAATCTCAGTCGCCTTCATATTGAGAGTGACTTTCCCATTTTTACTACATCTATATTATTCTGAGACTTGAGGGAGGTGAAAATATCAGAAGAATGATATATTATACTTTGAAGACAGAATGAATAGACAGAGAAATCATTTATTTCTATTTACCATGTGGACTGATTTTGGTTTCTGGGGTTTAGGGATCATAAACCTTAATGAGTTATGTAACTTTAACTTACTACCTAATGGTCTTTTAAGATTCATTCTTGAAAACATTTGGTTCCATGTTATTTCTATTGCTGCAATTGTAATTAATTTAAGAAATATGTGGATTTTGAAGTAGAAATAGGGTGAAGAAAATGTGACGTAATAAATTTGACCCTTATTCTGTGTAATTTATGTTTTTCAGGCTTGATTTTGGTCAACAATCCTTAATCTTTTTACAGAACTGAATTTTCTTCATAAATAAAAAGGTCTGAGCAATTCAGAATTGTACGTATACAAGCTTATACAGCGCATATATAGCTTATTATATGAATAGCAAAAGTAAAAACACTACCACTGGTTTACTTTTGGGTTTATTTGCATAATTTTGGACAGGTTGTTCCACAGATGTTATGGAAGAAATTAAAGCAAGAAAAAAAATTAGCTACATATTTAGGACTCACTCCACTAAAACATTTTATGCAAATGATTGTTTAGAAATCTTCTTTCTCTCTCCTTTTGGGGGTTTTTACATGCCATTTTTGAGTAATTTTTGGTCTAGATTTGAAATTTAATGTCTTAAATTGCATTATCTTTAAGATTTGTTGAGATGATGAGAGACCTAAAGGCGGAAAGCTATTTCTAAAAATAGTCGTTTTGTGAACTGCCAAACTCTAGCGGATGAGTATAACTGGTAGAAGTTTACTTTTAGTAGCTAAAAATTTTCATGGTCATCATATATTGAATTTTTTAAGAGACATTAAAGATTTAGTTTTTGCGTACAAATTATTGAATTTAAAGATTGACATTTTGATAAAATATTTTGCCATCAGTTATTTCCCTTGAATTGACAATTTTACCCTTTTAAGAAACCTTTCGTCCCGTTTATAATTAATTCCCTTCAGAACCAAATATTTTTGTGCTAGATTAAAGGAATAGTATGCAAAAGTTACATTATTAATAGACCATTTGATGAGATGTTCTCTATTTTGTCTATGTTTTATTTCTGACTATAGTTTTGTACCCTCGTATTTTTGTTATTAGCTATCTATACAAGGGTGTGATGAAACCGCACCCGCATGTCACGTTTGTGAAACTGGTAGGGCGACATATACAGTCCCGTCCTGAGGGTGGGGTCCGTGATGGCTGGGCCCCAGCAAGTCAGAATTAAGCCCCAGCAATACCTTCTTCAGTTCAGCAGAGATTAAAGTATCTTTGTACAAAAAATCAAAATGGTATAGATTTTGATACGTTTTTGGCACCTCAAAATTGTCAGAAATGAGTTCTCTGGACCTTAAATTCTTCAATTTTCTGAGTACAAAATCTGAGCCCGAACACCAATTCATTTCTGGCGACGGCGCTGAAGACATGTCTTGTTATCCATAGAACAGAATTAAAATCCGATATCAACTCTTTTACAATATCAATGACTTTTTCGAAGTGACGATAGTCTAAATTAGCAAAATACGTTTATTAAGAAAGCGGGCGTTCGATTTTAAACCTGAAATGTAATCTATGAATAGCCGAGATTGAGTCAGCTGGTTAAGCCATAATTAGACCAAAATACGGGAAATTAGGCTGTATCAGCTGGAAAATAAAGACCAAGGTACAGATAGCTGATCAGCTGATAAAATGAAATGAAATGAATGGAGTTTTACGTTCTACTTTTTTGCACCATGTGGGCTAATGAAGACGAGCAACGTTATGCAGGATATCCATTGCATATTCAATGAGGGAAATTTTGTCAGGACAGCGGGCCTCGGTTTATTGTCCCATCCGAACAACTAGACGCTTTTTCCATGTCAGCTCTTCCCTGCATCACTGACAGGGGAAACCGGGTTGAAAAATCCGAAGGTATTATCTCGACCTATGCCGGGATTGAACCCTTGACCTTCAGGTTAGTGAGCAAGCGCCTAACTCACTGAGCCACCGCGGCTCCATGATCATCTGATAAAGGTAATGATTAGACTTGATACATTATTCAGTCACAACTCTATTGTCACAACAAATAATATTAACATTCTAATTTAACCTTTATTGAGTTTTCTAATGATCGTAGGTCTGTATAATCATATTAGCGATATTCTGAAAAAGAACAAAAACAGTAATTCAATTAACTCAAAAACATTCATATGGAAGCCGACAGCGGCCATATCTACTCTCGACTTCTCGCCCACGAGAAAGCGAGGAAAAGGCGAGGGTAAAAAAAGACGAGGAAAAAGGCCAGAAGTCGAGAAAGCTAGGAAAAAGGCGAGAAAGCGAGGAAAATTTCTCGCCTTTTTCCTCGCCTTTTTCCTCGCCCTTTTCCTTGCCTTTTCCTCGCTTTCTCGCCTTTTTCCTCGCTTTCTCCCCGTAGCCGGCTTCCATACATTCACTTATGTGATATTGTATGATGGTTTCATGTGATGGTAGGATACCTGCTAAAATGGGGACAGAGGGATGTGTAAATCAATTCGTAACGAATCCGTGCAGAGAAAGCTGTATTTTTCTGGCTTGGTGTACAAATGTTGTCCTGGTCTCATGTATGCGAAAGTTGCCAAGAAGACGGGAGTTGTGGGTTAAGAGTCAATTCTTGAACAATCATATCACAGAAAAGTGATGACCCCACCTTGATAGACACGTTTAATTATACGTATACCCACCTTTTTTCTAATGTCATTACTCTGTGCCAATCGATCAGCTCGGATAAGTCCTTCAGTAGCTACAGATAGGTCAGCATTGCCTTGAGCTGAAAGTATGAATATACAAAATCATGAAATTGCCTAGTAGTATCTTTTCTGTTACAAAACCAATGTTTAGAAACGTTTAGAATTTAAAATATCTGAAACGCCCCCTTTATGCCTATATATTGTTAGGTGATGCAATTGATTGACAGGTACCGACAAATTGAAGCAATAACATTTTAAGGCATTCACACCGTGTAAAAAAGAACATTCGAATTATTATGAAAAGACAGGTCAATGTGATGGAATGAATGTGGAGCTAGTTATCATAATGGGGAAATACACGATGCTTTATCATGTTGCTAAGACTCAAGACTAAAATTACTTAAAGTGGCGTATTAAGGCGGTAATCTTTAGACCATGCCCCTTCCTCTCTTGGGTCATAAAAAATAACAAAAAAATTCGCATAAGATTTATTTCTATACTTTAGAAATGTGCTCTGTTAACATCAAAATTTGACAATGAGTCTTAGATCTTGGGCCTCAAACATCAGTTTTCAACTTTTAAGCAGAAACAATAAACGACATACTTTAACATTACAAAGAGTTTATATCAGGAAATTTTTTCTATATTACGATATTTGAACCTATCCTGTTAAAATTTGTCTATATCGCCATACATAAAAAATCTCATAGAGCCCCACTCTACCCCTACCCTTGCCCCTTTAAGTCAGTGAAATCTTCGCTACGCTACTGCATACTTACCATCAAATAAGTTGGGGTTCATGTCAGTATCAGCAGCCGACAGGACGCCGTCTTTATTGACATCAAATAATAAAAATAATTCAGAGGCAGGACCTTTTGGATAGCAGAAATCGTTGACCATTCTCTGGACAAACTCGGTTAAGGTCACTCTTCCATCTCCTGTTTAAATAAAAAAAAATTCAAATCAAATTCACAGATGTTTATGTAATTCTGTGAGATTATATAATCGTTTTTTCGTTTTATTCAATTCTGTGGTTTCACGCGAAAAAGAGTTATTCAGCAGAAGTTTCTTAGTTTCTTCTACCGTTCGGTCCTACAGTTTCCAGTCTGAAGTCATTGACGGGGTTCTTGTAACTTGACAGATTACATAATGCCACTATAGTATAACCTATAGTCTGGTCAGACTTTTTTAGGGGGTAGGGGGTCACAATGCAAGTGTCTTTGACTCAGATACATAGGCTATAAACTTTCTGAAGTTCATACTTCGAACGTTCAATGTTGGGAGTTTCAATATTGACTTTTTCGATTTCAATCGGTGGGGGAATCTTGAAACCCGTAGCATCGGTTTATTGTTCAAGATGGTCATTCCATGTCAGTCCTCCGACCACCGTCATTTACAATGGAAAACCTGATTTAAATAACTATAGAATAAAGTACCTACGTCTAATGATATCATAATTATTGTAGATAGCTCTATCTTCGTTCAAGGTGAGTATATTGTCATTGTTAACATTGGCCTCACCCAGCATTTTCTTCACATTCAGATGTACACCAAACATATTTCTAAAACTAAAGTAACCATTTATTGTATTAGACCCTTGTTCAACCACATTAACTCCCTTTTGCCATTTTTGACATATACCCTTAACCTTATCTCCTGGAACCCATAACAATTAACTTTTGATACCCCTAACCATTATCTCCTGGAACCCATAACAATTATCTCTTGATACCCCTAACTATTATCTCCTGGTACCCCTAGTAGTTATCTCTTGACACCCCTAATCATTATCTTGAAACTCCTACCCATTATCTCTTGGTACCCGGAACCATTATCTCCTGGAACCTCATAACCTTATCTCCTGAGACCCCTAGCAGTTATCTCTTGATACCCCTAACCATTCTCTCCTGGTACGCATAACAATTATCTCTTGATAGCCATAACACTTATCTCTTGATAGCCATAACAATTATCTCTTGATAGCCATAACACTTATCTCTTGATAGCCATAACAATTATCTCTTGATAGTCATAACCATTATCTTCTGGACCCCCTACCCATTGTCTCTTGGTACCTATAACCATTATCTTCTGGTACCCCTTACAATCATCTCCTCTTACACTTAACCAGTATCTCCTTGATAACCTAACCATTATCTCATCGTATATCAAACCATTGTCTCTTAATACCTATAACTATTATCTCCTAGTACCCTTAACCATTATCTCACGTTATCCCTAACCTTTATCTCCTGTATACCCCTAACCTTTATCTTCTGTATACCCCTAACCTTTATCTTCTGTATACCCCTATTATATCCTAGTACCCTTGAACATTATCCCACGGTATCCCTAACCATTATCTCATGATATCCCTAACCATTATCCACTAGTACCCCTATCCATTATCCCATGATATCCCTAACCATTATCCCCTGGTACCCTTAACTATTATCTCATCGTATTCCAAACCATTGTCTCTTAATACCTATAACTATTATCTTATGGTAGACTTAAACATTATCACGGTATCCCTAACCATTATCTCTTGTACCCCTAACCATTATCTCTTATACCTATAACAAATATCTTCTGGTAGACTTAAACATTATCTCCTGTATACCCCTAACCATTATCTCCTGTATACCCCAAGCCATTATCTCTTAATACCTATAACAAATATTTTCTCACGGTATCCCTAACCATTATCTCCTGTATATCCCTAACCATTATTTCCTGTATACCCCTAACTATTATCTCTTGGTACCTATTACTATTATCCACTCGTACTCTTAGCTATTATCTCAACGTATTCCTAACCATCATCTCATCGTATTCTTAACCATTATCTCTTAATACCTATAACTATTATCTTCTGGTAGACATTATCTCGCGGTATCCCCAACCCTAATCTCCTGTATAGCCCTAACCATTATCTCTTATACCTATAACAAATATCTTCTGGTAGACTTAAACATTATCTCCTGTATACCCCTAACCATTATCTCTTATACCTATAACAAATATCTTCTGGTAGACTTAAACATTATCTCCTGTATACCCCTAACCATTATCTCCTGTATTCCCCTAACCATTATCTCCTGTATACCCCTAACTATTATCTCCTGTATACCCCAAGCCATTATCTCTTGGTACCTATAACTATTATCTTCTGGTAGACTTAAACATTATCTCACGGTATCCCTAACCATTATTTGCTGTATACCCCTAACCACTATCTCCTGTATACCCCTAACCATTATTTCCTGTATACCTAATCATTATCCATCTAACTATTATCTCATCGTATACCAAACCATTACCTCTTGGTACCTATAACAAATATCTTCTGGTAGACTTAAACATTATCTCCTGTATAGCCCTAACCATTGTCATTCTCTTAATATCTATAACAAATATCTTCTGGTAGACTTAACCCTAATCTCCTGTTTAGCCCTAACCATTATCTCATCGTATTCCTAACCAATTATGGTAGACTTAAACATTATCACGGTATCCCTAACCATTATCTCCTGTATAGCCCTAACCATTATCTCCTGTATAGCCCTAACCATTATCTCCTGTATAGCCCTAACCATTATCTCTTAATAACTTTTATCTCATCGTATTCCAAGCCGTTACCTCTTGGTACCTATAATTATTTTACACTCGTACCGCTTGCCATAATCTCATGCTCTCTCCAGCCACGTTTGTATTTTATTGCCATTTTATTTCTTTAATCTTCACCTTCTCATTTCATTTTAGTTTCTGAAATTCAGGATGCCAATGACCTTTTCCGGATTCCTCGACTTCATTGGCCTTACTAAAAGCATTTTGCTTTTTCGCAGCAAACAGTCCCTGCCCATGTTAAGTCCCTTGCAATTATATAATATAAACAAATACCTACTTGCAATTCCATTTATGCATGATAAACCTGGCCTCAAGGCTGACTGCCAGCAGGAGACAAACGACGAGTGTTAGACCCCTCATTTCTGTTTAAAACTAAATTCAGACTGTAAAAGAAAAGAGTATATATAAGAAGTGAAAATCAAAAAAGTTAAAAAATTGTCTGTAACAAAAATATCATTTGTAATAGCTCATTTCTGACTTTGGATTCGAGAAATAAAATATCAACAAAATCAAGTGGGTTTTTTTTGTTGTTTTTTTGTTGTTGTTTTTTTTAAGGACTTGTTATCGCTTTTAACCATACACTGTACACTAAATATACCACATTGACAGTATAAGTATTCTAGACTTTGTAGACTCCCTGAATTCTGAGTTCACAAAAAAATTATAATATAAACTCTGTAAAAACGATGCTGAACAGACAAACTATAATATACCGAGGTAACCATATTAGCTATAAGAACTCCCCGAACTGGCAAACGTAGACACAAAGTGACATGAGGTGTTCTGTGAGAATACGAAAGAATGAACGAAAATAACATTACCTTCTAAAGGCGAAAATCCTAAATGTAGAAACAGGTATCCTCGGTGTCAAGCTATATCAAGATAGTATTTTTATTCACAGAACAGATAGCTCCACCTACAGTGTTTATGTCAATACTGAGGACTTACAATGTACTTTGATCAAATAAACCTGAATATATTTTAGGTACACCAGCTTGTCGTTAGTTAGGGGAAGGTAGTCCGAGCATACCCGAATCTTTTTGGTGTTGGTTGAGATCCCGGTTGGAGTTGGACCATGATGCTACGTGCAGGGGGAATGGTAATTCTAGAGTCTAAACTATCTTAGCACTAGGATGTTCTGTCCTAGGTTCCTACTGTGTCTAAGATATTCTAGCGATAAGATCGATTCAAGGATACGTAGCTTTGAATTTCACTTAGCAGTTATTGGCAATAATTAAAGGAAATAAAGGTAGTCCGAACATCATTGAATTATGATGTGGGGGGGGGGGGGGGGGGGGGTATCCTTTCCCCCTTTTTT